ACTGCCCTGGGCCTCCCTGTTCCCCATCAGAGGGATCCACCATCTGCCCAGAGGCAGTCAGAGGCCAAGGGTGCAGGCAGGGCTTGATGTGTGGTCTCCCTGTCAGCACTGTGGCCTCCCTGTCAGCACTGTGGCCTCCCTGTCAGCACTGTGGACATGCGACTATGTCCCTGAGGCTGTCAGCCAGAGGGCATTTTGGAAACAGTAGGAACACTTTTCTATTGTCACATATGATTTTCTTCATTATGTCTATTGAAAGGTGAGGTACACAATGTTATAAAAAAGAAGAGGATGTTGGGTGAGAGGGGGTTGAGAATCACTGGATTTACATTCTATACAACTTGCTGAGAAAACACTGTTTCTTGGTACTTGGATATTGCATACATCTGGTGGGACAAATAGACCCCACTGTGTAGCAGCCAAGTGTGGATAAAGCCCTTATAAAGTTATCATTTGGGGCCTGACAGGCTTGATAAGGCACCTATCAGATAGGTCAGATAAAGGACCATCTTTCCCGAAGGCCTAGGAATGCTTGACATTTAAAAGCTACACACAAGTCCTGCTCTCAGAGAGCCCACAGCTGAGGACGAGACTGAGACTGAGATTTTAAATCTGTGGCCACATTTACTTAAATGATCTGAGAGACATATAGAGTACTAGGAGAGTTGAAAAAGTAAATTGCTTTTAACACTTAAGACATGTCATTGACGTGCTGAGCCCTGTTGATCTTCCACACTGTGTCGTGGATTTTAATCAGCTTTGTTATAAATGGCCTGTGCCAGGTTAGATCAGGGTGCAAATCAAAAGGCAGGGACAATGGGTATAACGTGGCCCTTCCTTCTCCAAATATTAACAGCTCATTGCTACCCTCTTGCAGTTGTGGCCCACTTTCTTTGAGAGACCGCTTGTGAGGAAAGCCTTCGAGAAGACCCTCAAGGACCTGAAGCTGAGCTATCTGGACCTCTATCTTATTCACTGGCCACAGGGATTCAAGGTTTGAGTGACTCCCTTTCTCAGCCTCTAGTTTCTGAGCTGCTGCCAGAAAATAGTAGCTGCACCAGGGCTAGGGGTGGTGTGGACTGGAGCAGGAGACCTTGCACTTCATAAATGGGAATGTCAGGTGGTCAGGAAGAGACCTTGGAGCAAAAAGACGCTGGCATGGAAGGGAGGCTGAGGCCATGAGTGCTGCTGAGGTGGCCACATGCCTGCGTTTTCTTGCAGTTATGTCTGAGAGAAGCCATGATTTCTGGCAGCCCAGACAAGTTGCAACTGCCCTATCACCTTTGTTTGGATTTTGCGCCCCAGAATTGCCCCCCCAGAAAATCCCTTGCGTTGCACTTGCATAACTATATTCCAGGGCCTAATTATCTTATTAAACAAAGCACACCCCGGGAGTGGCATCTTGGAGAAAAGCCCAAGTGCGGTGATGCTGGAAAGAAGCCAGTAGTCATCGCGGCTCCCATTGCCTGGGGCTCTGCTCTAGCTGCTCCTGAGGGGTGGGAGAGACAAATTTCCAGCTCTCTCCCCTCCTGACCAGCGGGAGTGCTGATGGCCTGCCATCCCTCATTCCATGTCTCTTCTAGAGGCTGCAAGGATAGAAGCTGGCCAATATCTTCCCCAGAAAACCACACCCTGGAGATCTAATCCTTATCCAGTGATACTGAAATGAAAGTTTGCCCTTGGGTGTACACAGGATCTAGGTGTATGAGGTTAATGTCCATGGTGATAAAGGTGGCTTCTGGAATGTACTAACAGCAGATCTTAATGTCAATCCAGTGATTTCTAAAATATAAAGATTAATATGCTACAGTAGATATAGAGATTTCATTTAAACTCACATACTTGTAGCATGTACTGCAGAGTCTGAAAAACCGGTATGCACATGTGGTATTTAGCGAGAGTCAGGACCCTGAAACCTTGTTTAAAGAACCAAGTGCCGTGATGCAGATTCCAGTAAACTTTTCATTCTGTATTTACAGTCTGGGGATGACATTTTACCCAAAGATGATAAAGGTAATGTCATCGGTGGAAAAGCAACGTTCTTGGATGCCTGGGAGGTAGGTTCCAGCTTCCTCTACGTGTGCTGGGAGAGAAATCTTCAGTTATCCATGAGACTTCCCATTGACATGAAAGAGGCCGTGTGCCTGATGCTTTCTAATTTCATCATTGTGATTCTCTAGCTCTTCTAATATGTTCCTCATCACCTTTGGCTTTTGGGTGCATCTGATACTATTTATATTTCAAGGCTAATACTGTGTCTTCAAATAAGAGTGGAAATCCAATGTACCCCACTTTGGGGAATACACATACTGTTCTCAAACCAGGGTGAGCCATTTGGAACAGGAGGTTTGGGTCTGGGTTTGCTCATAGCAGCTGAGTAACCTAGGGTCAGTTTTGTAACTCTTGTAGGGCTCAGTTTTCTCTTCTTAAAAAGAAGTCTTATAACACATACTACTAATATGTATTTTTGAGGGTGTGATAAAGATTAAGATGGTTTACATGCCAGGAACATTAGTCATAGCGACCATATAATCATCTAAACCTATAAGGCAGGATTAACATCCCCATTTATAAATAATGACATTTGAAGCCTAGTTTGATTGGTGACTTGCGCAG